AAAAGATGAAAATTGATACCAAATATAATCATCGTAGGGTAATGACGAGAAAAACAAAACAAAAACTTGCAGTTAAAATTGATAAGAGTAATAAGAAGTCAACAATGACATTTAAAAATTTTTTAATAAAATTTTAGAAATTTGCCATTTTTTGTAACATTAAATGTAGAAAATAAGGAAAGAAATGAAAAATTCAAGAAATAAACAAAAATGTTTGGAGCAATTAAATATTAATTAAATATAGCAAAAAATTTTAATGGAATGCTTTTCTAGAAATGAAATTCAAATTTATTATAATTGAGTTTGGCTATTTTGATTTAAATCATTTATATATTTCTTAGATGCATTAAAAATATTTTCTCAACGATATGCAAGAATGTGAAGAAGAAATTAAATTGATGAAATTAGCTACAAGAATTTCCGAGCTAGGCAAACTTAAAAAATTAGCTAGTAGAATTTCTGAAAAAAATTTTGGACTGAGATAAATAAGAGGAAGTTAATTAATGGAACATTAGAGAAATTTCGATTGCGATGGCTTTCTGAAAGGAAATATCGGACCACAATGAGACAGGATTGGAGCGGAAGAAATTGCATAAAAGCATTGGAACAAATGTTTTTCTATGCAGATTAACTTTCTTTCTTGATCGAAAATTCAAGAGAATTGTAGGCTTTGAACTGAACTCATTTCATTTCCTTTCAAATTAACTTATTTATGAGTTGCACTGATCTAACTGATCATAAATATTATCATTCTAATTTGAAATGAAATAAAATAGAACGAAAGAAAGTCTTACACATTACTATCATATTTCACGATATTCTGTTGTAGGCTTTTTCAATCGGATCATTCAAAAAAATAAAACATCATGTATAATCTTTTTCTTTTCAGCGTAAATTAAAATATCTGAAATCTAACGATGAAAAGCTTAAATTACTTAAATTTTATTTCAAAAATGAGAAATAAAATATTATTAAAAATTGAAAGAGAGCAAGAGCGGAAATGGATTCCATCCTTTTCAAATGATTGCTAAATGAAGCACATCAAAAGTAACCGTTCAAACTTGATGGGAAGTAATTATCGTTACGGGAGGTGCTATCATATACAATGTCGGCTTCATCCCAATAAATATAATTTACATTTTATGTCTTCCTTCTTTTAAATTACAATAAACAAATTTATGATATGTTGTCCATTTATTTATATTTCTCTCCTCGAATTTCAGTCTGTTCTTTTTTTTCAGTATCATAAACCCACAGTGATGCACTAATTTTCAATAAATTTTTCCATTCAACTACTTGAAGAGTTTTGTTTGTTTTTGCTTGCTTCTGCTAAATTTATCGAAAATTATTTGTGGAAAATACGATTTGATGAGATATAATTGATACTGTGATAAAGAAATTAATTTTTGAATTTAAACATTGAAAAATGCATTATAGAAATGAAGAGAATTATTTATAACAATATACAAATATCAGATTTTCAAATGAAGTGTAAATCGTTTCATGCATTTTAAAATTTTCAGTGAAAAATTTTTCACCCCGTCATCGCATCAACCTTATAGTTGTTATTACGATGGAAATGAAACAAAGTGCTGCGACTAATTTCAATTGAGAGAATGCAATAGAAAAAAAGAAAAGAGAAACAAAGAAAAGTGTGCCCATTAAATAACAAGTTTAATTTCAAAATTATGACTTTTCAATTTTATTTTAGTACCACTGCAAAATTGCAATGAAAACATATTGACGAAGAGAAAATTTAAGGCACTCGAAAATTTTAATAAATAGAAAGTGCTCAAAAATTGAAGGAAATTAGTGGAGAAAATAAAAATAGCTATGTAAAAGCAATTTAACTGAATGAAATTGTAAAAAAAGAACCCATTCATTGAACTAATGCAAATAACTAACATATGCTGAAATCAATGTTCTCAGTTAAAGTTAATTTTTGTTTATTCTTGGATTTTACTTGAATTTGGAATAAATTAATGAGCAAACAAAAATTTATTTTAGAAAAGAATTCGAGCAAACTACCGCTTTTTTGTAAAAAAAATTTACAAATTTTAAACGGAATTTTTTTTCACACTTTTGTTTTTGGATAAATATAAAAATGAAGGTTAAAAAAAATTCAAAATCAAAGTTTTTAAAGTTCAAATTGTCTCGGTTTTAGATATTAGGAGAAGGCTTAAAATACAAATGGCTTATTATTTTTCTAGAAGGAATGCAAAGTTCAACTAAAATTGCTTTGAATGTAGAGATTTATTTAAAAAAAAAAAAAATAATGTCATCGCCATGTATCCAAAGCAGCAGTATCAATCACTGTTTAATAAGTATGGATAAAAAGTTAAATTACTTTTTAACAAATATTGACAAAAGTTAATTTAACAATTAACCATATCAACTAGAGAAAAGATGAGTGATATGTGTAATTATATTTCCTGGAATAGAAAAAGAGATGAGAAAATGACTTATCAGATTATTTTAATCGAATCATCAATATATTTTACTTGAAGCATCGTTACTTTCGAAATTTACTTCAAACAATCAAACATTCCAGCGCATTTCTTAAACATTCACTGAAATTCTCTAAGCAAACAACACTTCTTTCATAAAGTGATAATATTTGAAGGTGAAAAATTTTGCAGATTTAACGATTAATTGTTGTATCCATCGTTGTTTGATAAAAGATGATATCATTTCAGGATTTATTTCATATTTCAATATGTCATACGAAAGCTACCAGCTTACTGAAGAATTATTTTATTTTCCTTAGCCACAAATAATTTTGGTTTATTGATATGAGAAAGGGAAGTAGTACAAAATGAAAGTATCAGTAGGAAAAGAAAATTGCTAATAAGTGTTAATAATGTGAATATTCTGAAATTTTGCTATAAAAAAATTGGAATTGAAGTTACAATGCATTACTACCATAGATTAGAAGAAATTTATATAACTGTAAATTAAGTTTACAAAAAATTGTTTATTGAAACGCTGCTGGTTTGCTGCAAGGTTAGCATTGCATCATTATCAGATATTCCTTTTTTGCGGCTTCACTTTTTTTTTCTTCTGCAATTTAAACAAACGAATTCTCTGAACTCCTTTCCTTTTTTCACTATAATATTCTCTTTTTAACATTTTTTTATAAATTTGTAATAAGAGAAAGTCAGTAAATTACTGTAATAATTTTTGGGTAAACGTTGGTTTTTGTTTATTTTTCAACTTAAAATAATCAATCAAATTTTATAGTCATCCATTTTGTCAGAAATATTTCAGAAAAAAAGATATCATCGTTTTTTCATTGTTTTGCACATTTGTTGACAAAAAATACCGAATTTAAATTTTATGTTCATTGATAAGATCAAACTTGACTTACATATTCAGTCCTTTTTTTGCATAGAATATTTCGAAAATTTTTGCTGAAATTGACCGGATGTCATTTCTAGCAAATTTATTAGCTTTGTTGTTCTAAAGCAGATGTGTTTTCGCTCAAAGTTATTAGCTTCGATGTTTTAAATGAATTTCTGATTCATACTATTTACGAAGTTGATTTAGTCCATTGGTATTAATAAAGAAAATCATTGTTATTTGTAAAATCAAGTTCATTCATTTTTTTCATTTCTACCAAACCTTAAATAGAAGTGACAATATTTTGTTTAATCTAAGCTTTCATCTTATTCTGTTTCAGAAGAACAAATTGAATCTATTTTAATGATAAGGAATGATTTGGTCAAGTAATTTTATTCAAACGTTATAATGATACATTACTGCTGGTCTAAAGTTCATAGTTACTATTTCTATCTCAATCTTTATGAAAGTCTGAAGTTCATAATTACTATTTGTGAGGTCACTCTGGTCCATCCCAATTTTCATGAAAGTCAATTTACTATTAACCAATATTTAAGTCTAATTTATTCTGTAACTGTTAGTTTGGGATGCAGCATATTAATTAAGCAATTTTGCTGAATGTTTTTGAATATTATGTCTAAAACATTTGACAGTAAGCGATTTAGACAACTTAGCTTCTTTAATATTTTTATAAAAAGTCTGAAATTACCACATATTATCATATTTTCCCATTAGTGATTGCACATATTTTTCCCATTTTCAGTATCCTTTCATACAACGGTTGATTTAATTTTCAATTTCATCCGCAATTTCTGCTAAAAATCAAATCCAATTGAAAAATTTCACCAGAATCTATCACTTTTCTCCTTTTTTTCCTAATTCAAATAAAAAATATAAAACTAAGAAATTAAATTGAATTTGAAAAAGGCAAAAAAGACATACATTTGAGAATAGAATAATAGAGGCGCAATATTCGTTGCATAATTCGGATGTAGTCGAGAATCGGTCTCCTGAGAGATATTAATTATCTGAATATGATCAGATATCAATCTCTCGAGACAGACTGTGTGGATATGATTGAGCATCAATCTCTTGAGAGAGATTAATAGTGATTATTTTAATTCCTTCATTATTCGGTCACTTTTTAATTTGAAAAGAATGATATATAGGGAAGTAATATTCGAGAGAAATAACGAAATATAGAAAAATTGTAAAGAAATCTAAAAAGAATGTGACAAGTAAAATGAAGGAAAAGTACAGTTGTCAAATGATTAATTTTATCCATTCATAAATAATTGCTTATTTATTATTAGTACATGTTATTAATTACTACTAATTATATCATCAATTGCATTGATGCTTACCATTCAATTTTGCTCATTTTCTCCGAATTTTTCAAAAGCACTATTTACTCGAAATTTTATTCGAAATGTTAAAAACGATTGACATTGTTGTTTATGGATATATGTGTATAGCAGTGGCATCATTACTCTTCCACAGTATTTCAAAATAAATCGCTGCATTTAAAACAACCTGAATTAGTGTATTTAAAAAGACCCCTAAATGGTATATGTAAAAATGTTTTCTGATTAGTTTGGTTATTTGTTAGATTATACGATTAGAAAGCGGTTGTTAACCGAAGTTTATCCAAGCACAGGCAAATGGAATCATCACTCGACGATAATACATTTACCAATTTACCAGCAAAAACTGTTCCAAATCTGATTAATACGCAAAATATTATTCTCCCAAAGTTTGTTGCATTTCAAAGAAATAATTCATTTGTTAGGATTATAATTTAAAGTTTGTTTTATAATTTGAACGATGATGGTAGTGCTGTAAGTAAGAAGAGAGAAAAAATTCTCAAAAGTTTGAAATAAATTTATTGCAGGAAATTTACAAAAATAGAATGCCTCAGACCAATAATACAATTAGGTATTGAAGATACTTTGGTTAAATTTGGCGAAAAAATACGAGGTCGATGGCTTATTAAAGTAATTAACAATGCATTTCATAATTAATAACTAAATCAAATATAACTGTATTTATCCAAATCCCAAATTATTTTTTTCCATTCAATCTTTATCTAAATCACTAAAATCTGGATTTATGCCATCTGAATGAAAGTAATAAATGATAATTGTCTTTTCCAGGGATTAATTGGTAGCGGTGGATATGGAGAAATATATTATGCATCAGATTTGAAAATGAATGGCGAATCAGTGGCTGTTAAAGTGGAACCTGTGATAAGGAAAGGAAAAGTAGCTAAACGAATGATTCTGGAGCAGAAAGTCTTAATTATTCAAACATTTAGCTTTCCAAATTTGAATAATATCTGCGTGAACACTAAACTTTAGAAATTACTTCATAAGTAGAAAACCAAAATACCTACGTCATCCGATATGCATCCTTATTAAATATAAAAATTTTGAAATTCAAGATAATTGATTTATCAGATAATGTTGCGTCTGCAAGGTAAACCGCATGCACCGTTGATGTGGGCTTCCGGAACGGAACGTGGCCTAAATTATATTGTAATGCAATTGCTATCAAGGAATGTGGCAGATCTAAGAAAGCGATGTCCCGTACAACGATTATCGAAGGCTACCTCAGGACGAATCATGCAACAAGTTTGAAAATTAGTCACTTTTTAATGAGTATTTTAGACTTGCGCTATCTTTATTTCTCTCTTTTTCTTTTTTTAGATTATCAGTCTTTTTAGGTCAGAATCTGAGCAGTGAAATCCTATAAATTCCTCGTCGAAAATATCGGATAGAATAAGCTTGCAAAGTTTCAGAGAATAATATCGATAGTGCAATAAAGCACATGATAAATGACAATCAAATCTTACTCTATTCATTATCACAAATTAATCAACTCATTATATTTCAAGTTACTGCTACTTATTGTATTCTTCCACTTCAGGCAATAGCTGGTCTTCGTGACATTCATAAAGTGGGATATATTCATAGAGATGTGAAACCAGCGAATATGTGTTTCGGTCTCACCGAAAAAGTAGGTCATTTGATGATGTTTGTATAATAGAATCCGGTTTCCCTGAATGATTTACAAATGGAAATTAAAGCTTTAAAGTGGTAGTTCTAATAACTTACAAAATTGTCCATAATGCCCTACATTTCAAATGAATATATTCTGATTTATTTGAAAATTTGAATTTTTTACCAATTTTTTCAAGTTCACAATTGTAACTTTTACTGATAAGTAGTTGAAGTTAAACAAATTAACGATATTAATATCAAACATATTTTGTCAGAGCAGCCGACGTTTGATCATTGTGGATTATGGTTTGGCGAGAAGATTTCGGCAAATGGACGGGAAACCAATTGAAAGACGAAAACGAGCTGGTTTCCGTGGAACATTACGCTATGTGTCAATGCGCGTACATGATCGGAAGGAGCAAGGACCATCAGATGATCTGATCGCACTTTTTTTCACACTTATCGAAATACTTAGAGGGGAATTACCATGGAGGGATGAGAAAAATGATGAAAAAATGAAAAGCGCTAAAATGGAATTGGTAATTTCCATTTTTTCCATTCATGATATTGATGTTAAATGCAAACGAAATTCAAGCAAATCAAACATTTTACTCTTCAAAAAGCATCAAAAATAGCGATTGAACTTAAAAGCTATTCTCATTTCAGATGAAAGATGATTTCGTGAAAATATCCAAAACTTTTGGCTTCAGCGTATGTGAATACGGTCGAGCAGTAATGACATTAGCTGTAGATGATGAACCTAATTATACATTTTTAATTTCAACCATGAAGGTTACAAATGTTGAAATTTTGGAGACCTGAGGACTAAATAATTTATTTGCTCGAAAATGAGAAATTTATTTTTGCATTGTCTTACTTTAATATTTTTCAATTAAAGATAAGCAAATGATAAGACCAAATGAAATCAAGTAAAATAAAATAACAAATGTAATAAATTTAAGTCTTATCTCGAAAATCAAAACATTAAATTTTGAAAAGGGACAATTTTCGCTTCAGTGCTATTTAACTTAAAAAAGGGAATGTTTATACTAACTTGAATATTTCAGCCATAATTTTATAGAAATTGGCTGGCAATCGACATTTAAACGATCCATATGATTGGGAAAATGATTATTTGGAAGTGCTAAAGGAATATAAATAATCAGCTTCATTTTCATTATTCAAGTATATTATTAAATTTATGATTTGCATTACAACATTTTTTCCCCATGGCAGCAATATATCGTTGATTTGTGCATAAAATTTATTTCATATTATTTTTTGGAGCATTCAATCACATTTCTACTGTTATCCTTAGCTAATTAAACTTCATCAATTGAATTAAATCTTTCACACAAAGAGAATCCTTTCACATCAAACTGCTTACCTCATTAAGTAAGTAACAATAAAGTTATGCATATCAGGCTCTTTTCTTTTCTACCCGCGTAATACTCTCAAGTTTTTTTATGATCTAAAAATTCAGATTACATTTTCGACAGCTAATAGATTTATTGTGAGAAAAAAGCCGTCGTTTAACAATAAATCGTGTTCATTGCCAAATTATGACCATTCCCACTGAAATAGAATGATTGCCGCATTTGTTATTAACTAAAATGAATATTACAATAAAACAAATATTAAAAATTTTCTTGGAATCAAAAATGATAAAAGATTGTAGTTACAGAAAAAGAAAAGTTTGGCAATTTAAACTGTAATTTTATAAAAAATTTTTTTCCTCTTAAAAATTGAAAAATTCACTGAAATTTAATACTCGTTACGTAGATTTATTGAACATTTTGCTGAGATCACTGAAAAATCCCCAATTGATATTGTATTTATTGTTGATAGCAATTGGACCAAATATATCCTCATTACCGACGCTAAGACCTACGAAGTATTATTTTGTTCACGAAATGTGATCTCTAGAAAAATAGCGATTTATACTTAAATATTTAAATTAGAGAATAGTATTATCGTCATAAAACTTCCTTAAGCGCGAAAGGTTAGTGTGTAACCTTGAACTAATATTATTCTTTGACTTTCCAATACAACCTTAATTTTTCCACATAATTTGTTGAACGATCTTTTTTTGTATAATGATATTGTATTATTATTAAATTAAATTTCAAAGAAAACCTCTCAACGGAGCCAATGAAATGCCATCTTTTCGCCCAACTGGCATGCCAAGTACATTTACTGTCCGATCACGACCAACTTCCACTTCCTCACGACGTTTTTGATTATGACCAAGTGATTCTAATAATGTTAATATTGATGGCATTGCTACTGTTGACTGAAATTATATTAAATAAGTAGATCATCTTCAATAACATTTCCTTCTCCATTTATGAATTACACTATTCGAATTACATTATTAGAATCAGTTGCAGAAATTAGAAGATGAATTGGATATTGGATATGACAATAATATAACAGTAAA